GGGGCTGCCTGAAGGCCATAGCGTTAGAGCAGCTCAGCACTTAAACAGAGCCGAAGAGTCAGGGGAGGAGCAGAGCAGCCGCGGGAGGGGAAGTGCCCGGCCGGCGGCTGGGGTCCGGAGGCAAGGGGGCTGCCTGAAGGCCATAGCGTTAGAGCAGCTCAGCACTTAAACAGAGCCGAAGAGTCAGGGGAGGAGCAGAGCAGCCGCGGGAGGGGAAGTGCCCGGCCGGCATTTTCCCGGACATGTTCGGCTTTTTGGCAATTCCCCCCGGACAGGGGTTTGAGTGCCGAAAAGCCGGACATGTCCGGGAAAAACCGAACGTATGGTAACCCTAGTCAAAGGCTCTACTGCAAGAGTCGGCCTCAATCTACTTCCTAGTATCTAGTTTCCATATGTAAATATTTCAATTACTTCCTTTTTGTTTTATGTACCAAAGAGACCTAGATTTTAGATTTTACAAAAAAAATATCCAGTCATCGGTATTTTTAAATTAGGGAATTTGGGGTTCACAGACACCCATATTTGAAATCTTATTGAAAGTATGTTTTTTGGAATTGAAACAACTAAACAATCTGTCTTTTTTCTTAATTTTATAATAAAAATTATCACAATACTTCCTTGTCACTCCAAAACTAAATATGTGCATCTGTGCTGACAACTTTATACACCAAATAAACAGTATAGTCCACTCTCAAAAATCAACATTTGTCAAAGGTAATTCCACTGCCACTTAAAACCAAAGCTATTTTGAATACGTTATATGTTTGGTCACCTTTTCTCGAGACAGATGGTTCATTTCTTCCAGTTCTTGCGAGAGTCTGTCCGTTTCTCTTTGAGCTTGAACCAACAGCCGGCGAGTCTCCAAAAGCTCCAAATGAATGTGCTGCATCTGTTCTCGTTCTAGCCTCAACTGCTGACCTAAATCTAATGCTTCCTTGTACTGGTCTGCAATGCACTTCTCCTGATCTTTCACTGTCTGTAATAAGTAAATAATTTAAACTCTTAAAGAAAACAGATATTGAATGATTTGTATTCCTCCCCCTTTTTTTTTAATCAAAAAAAAAAAAAAATCAATGCAGCAACCCTTTTTGACTCTATTGATTCTTGGAGATTACAAAAGAAGATAGACCACAGTTCTGATCTGCTATGGCAAGTCTTATCTATTCCAGTACTGACTCTCCGATAATGGCCAGTACCAGATCTTCAGAGGAAGGTACAAGAAAACCTACAGTGAACATTTATGAAGTAACTTGCCCATAATAGAAGCTTCTTTCTCACTCACATCAGTTAGTGCTTGGTTTATACCCTGAAGCATAAAAGTTTATATCCCTTGTAAAATAAATTAGATAGGATACAATATTTGTGTTCTCATTATCCATATAAATGTCTATTTTTTTCTGAATCCCATATAGTTCTTGGTCTCATTGATATCTTGTGGCAATGAGTTCCACAAGCTAATTATGCAGCATGTAAAAAGTAATATTTTTTATTTTTACGTTTTGCCTTTTCAATTGCATTTCAATGAAGCCCATTTCCCTAGCTAAGTCTGAAGGTTACTAGAGCCTAAAACAAGCAGCAAGATTGGCTTAAAACTCCCACATAATGCAAAGTTAGAGTGTGCGCTTTGGAATCCTGGTTTAATTTATGGGATTCATGATTCTGCAGACAAATACCTGGAGAAAAGTATAGAACCCTATTTTTGAAGGGAGACAAGGAAGATCTATACACAACTGTTTATAAACAACTGGTTACACCAATACCATCACAATCCAATAATGAAAATATAATAAACTTCAGCCAAGAACTCCAGCAAGTAATTTCAGTATGAAAAAAACATAGTTTCTTGAAAGCATTACATTAAATGAGAAGACAACTTTCTTCCGCTGTTTATTGCTTAGTAAACCAAACAATCCATTAGACTGGAGACAAAGAATGTTCAGTTAGTAAACCAATAATTAATTAGAAAAAACACATTTATCCAAGAAAACAACTTACTTTTTCAATATCTGTTATTCTATGTTGTTTTCTTTCAATTTCCTTTTTTAGTTGATTTATTTCTTGATCTCTCTGGAGCAATTCAAACTCTTTTTCACGAAGCTCATCTTTAGAATGCTGTAGCTTGCAATCTAAGCTCTCAATCTAAATACAAGATACATTTAAAGTCAGAAGAACAGCTTTTTTTTCCTTCTTAAGGGACACCATGAAATCCTGACAAATTCAAAAGTTAGAAGTAGTTTAGATACTACATCTGCCATTGAGTTCCCTTACCAATTGATAATTTTACCACCACATTTTCCTATTTTAAAGAATGATTTAAGGTGCACATTTTATGAAGTAACAAGGCTGGCTTTTCTTACTATAGAGCTTTCCCCCTCCCCCACATTTTTTAGGTTTTAATTGGTGAACTCTAAATAATTTCTCTGGTAAAAAAAACCAACACCCAAAAAACTAAGAAACCCCCAAACTATTAACATCACTTTGGTCTTATCCTAGGCCAGCTCTTGCTTGCATCCATGCCCCAATCTCATGCACGCACTAGGTTATTCATTCTACCATGCTAGCCGGATTTTATTTTAAATCATTAATAAAAATACCTGTTTATCGCGTTCTTTAATTTCTAACTCAGTTTTCTCCAAACTACCTTCTAATCTAATTATTTTTTGTTCCATTTCTCCCCTGTGTTCACGAATAGTCATATCCAACTGGGTAACCTAAATATAAGAAAGAAAAAAAAACACTGTTTTGAAGTAGTATTTAGAATTTTAGAAACATTATTTTATGGAATATAAAAGAATTCAACACACCTAATGAAACTAATCCCTTTTGGCCCTGAGAATGTGGTCCCAAGTATAATCAGTAAAACTGACCTAAGAATGGATTAGCGGTCTGGCATTTAGAAATCTATTCTTATAGGCCAAGTACATAGAGAAAAGGGAGAAACAATTCTAATTCCATAATTTCACACATCTTGCCCATACCTCAACACAGAGAACACAAGACAGAATGGTTACTCGGCTTTACACTGAGTTATTTGAGTAGACGGTCAGTATAGATCCTCATTCTTGGAATGTGCCTGCATAAAGCACTAAAGCAAAAAATGCTTTGATTACTAGGAGCCATATGGACTTCATCTCAAGCTACAGAGTTTTTCAGGTAATATTATGCATGGCCTTCATGCACCCTCAGTTCCTTCAACTTCTTCAGATTCCAGCTGAAACTCTGCAGTAACCCTTCTTTTTCTCCTTTGAGTACTGTCAGTAAAAATCCCCACTTTTGGAAGTATGACAGGCAATAACAACTCTCTATAGAGAAGGCTTTGAGAAGACCATTTAAACAATGACAGTAGGACTGCCCTCCAAAACTGGGTATCAGATCTTGAAGGCAGATCAAGACTAAAGTTGTGAAAAGATATGGATTGACCTGCAATCAGCAGCTCTACATATTTCTACAATAGGAACATTACAAAAGCATGTTCAGAGACTGCCTTAGATCTAGTCCAGGGGTTTCCCAAATTTGGTTCGCAGCTTGTTCAGCGTATGCCCCTGACGGGCCGCAACGAGACATTTTGTTTACCTGAGCATCTGCAGGTACGGCCGCTCCCAGCGGGCGTGGTTCGCCGTTTCTGGCCAATGGGAGCTGCGGGAAGCGGCACAGGCCCGGCCACCGCTTCCCGCAGCTCCCATTGGCCAGAAACGGCGAACCACGCCCACTGGGAGCTGCGAGTGGCCGTACCTGTGGATGCTTAGGTAAACAAAATGTCTCGCAGCCCACCAGGGGCTTACCCTGAACAAGCCGTGAACCAAGTTTGGGAACCCCTGATCTAGTCAAATGTGCTCAGATACTATTGAGGACAGGGATACCGGTTAACTGATAGCATTTTTCAATGCAGATCTTAATCCAGTTTATCAAATTCTGACAGGAAGCTGCCTGTGCCATAACCTTATTACTATAAATGAAAAAAAGCCTTAGGTATTTACAGAAGGGTTTTGTTCTATTAAAGTAGTAGTTATAGGCCCTCTTCGCACCCAAAGTGTGTCATCTGACCATCCCCTGGTAATGGGTGTAGCTTGAGGAAAGTGACCACTTTAGGAATGAATATGGGAGGAGTATACAATACCACCTTACCCTCATATAAAGTTGGGTGAGGAAAGTCAAGCCATTTAAGCTTGAAGCTCACAGACCATTTTAGCTGATCTAACTGCCATGATAAACAGTCTTTGGGGCATGTGACAGAGAGAAAATTCCTCCAGAGGCTCTAATTGAGAGTCCATCAGCTTGGTCAGCACTAGGTTGAAGCCTCACAAAGGCAAACAGAAAAAATTTAGACATATCCTTTACAAATGCCTCAATGGTAGGCAAACGGATATAGAATCCCTTGAACTGGAACACAATATGCACCTAGGATAAATGAACTATATTGAAAAAGTCCTCATTTCTTGAAATGTAGCAAGCGATCTTAGTGATCATTTGAGCATTAGTAAATGCTGGACTTATTATAACTTTAAACAAACACTCAATAGGATATTCTGGTAATATGCTTAGAAAGATCTAACCTGAGCTGCTCTTTGTTTCAGTTCCCAGTTCCTTTCTTTCAATGCCTGGTCCATGTCAAGAAGTTCTTGCTTTTTGTCCTCAATTTCATCCTTACAATGCCTGCAATTTCCATATAACAAACAAACAATGTAGATGTTCTCTCTCCTTTATAAAGCTAGATCTAGATTCCAAAAAATCAAGTTTTCATAAAAGTGATAAATGTTGTATTCTAAAACTCCAAATGTTTTTTTCTTTTAAAACGTTTGTTAATTTAATTTTGATCATACTTAGCATTCTCAATCCCAACTTCCTGGTTGAACAGTTTCTGCTTCGGTGTTGCTCTGATGACATAGGGCACTCCCTGCTTCTGACTGTACATCTTGGAGGGGAGAAATCTGAAAGTGGGTGCGACACATGGATACTTGAAAAAGAAGAGAGTGATCCCACCACTGTCTTATCTGGATCTTCCTTATCTCTTGAGGCCCTTGCTTCTCTCTGTTGCCTGCCCTAATGGTAGCTTCTTCAGGCTTTATTTACCAGCCTCCTTATCCCCAAACTGGTGTCAGGTGCTGCTGCATGCTCCACTCCTGCTTTCATATGGTTTGTCTGGGTCAGTGGAGAGGAGATAAGAAAAAGGATGGAGCATGCAGCAGCAAATGGTCCAATGGGGGGAGTGGAAGAGCAGTTTACATGGAAAACAATTAAGTAAAGCCTTTACAAGCCACAACTGTGATAGATAAACAGATGGAAAGGGTAGGTACCTCAGGAAATGAAAGGCTCCTTCCCCTAGCAGCAGACAGAGAGTAGTGCTGATGTTAAGTGTTACCTTCTATATCAGCAAAGCAACACCCAGGCAGACGCTTTCTCAACCAGGAATTTGAAATTACAGCTGTTAATTTAAAACTTTATTTTAAAATACATTTTATAGTGTACTCGTGGTGTGACACATTTCTTAGCTATAGAAGCATTTAAAGTGCTTGACTGAGCAAACTGAATTAAGTTTTCTTTGAATATACACCATGCCAGCCAAAATTTTGCAACTTGGTTATCTAAAGTTGGGTAACTAATTCTGCATTTAAGAACCTAAAACGTAAGTGGCCTGATTTTCAGAGTGCTGGACACTTACTTCAGTGGATGCTTTGGCTACTTAGCAACTCTGAAAATATGGCCACTTATGTTGTAGGTGCTTAAAGGTGGATTTATGTGTGTAACTTTAAGCACACACATTTAAAAATGTTGGCCTCTGTTCTTTATTACAAGCTTAATTATTTTAAAATATAGGTAAACTTTGAACTGAGTAAAAAAACCTGAATGCATTTCATGACCATCTTCACAATGGAGATTTCACAGTAACTTTTCTATTAAAATTATTTCACTCATTATCAGAACTACATTGCAATAAAACGTGTATATTAGAAAGTTTAACCTTTACTATAGCAAATTAATGAAACAGTTGTACTGTACAAGACAGTCATTCTTTTTACTTGCATTTAACAGCTTTGGACTTAGGCAACATATTAACAGGTTTTTTTTATTACAGACGCCCCCCGGGTTACGCAAACCTGACTTAAGCAAAGGCGCACTTACAGAAAAAGTTCCGTAAGTTAGAAATAGGAGGTTTGGGGGGTTTTTTGCGTAATTGTTGGGTATACATTTCCGACTTACGCAAAATTCGAGTTATGCAAGGCGTTCTGGAACGGAATGCTTGCATAAGTCGGGGAGTGTCTATACTATTATTTTTAAGGCATTCCCAAAAAAGTACTTTAAATGTTAGTATTTTCGCTTTTAGAAACTAAACAAAATAAACTGAAGAGCTACTTTAAGTTATCCAAGGACCATGAATTAATTATCTAGATAGATAGATAGATAGATAGATATCTCCACCAGATTATAGGGGGCTGCTAAAAGGTGGAAAGCACCATCAAAACCAAGAAACATGCTTCACTGTTCCTAAAACAAACAAAAAATCACTGGGATTAAGTCTTCAAGACCTGAATAGGAGTTAGCTCACCTAAGTTCAGCTGTTAGATCCTTGATAGCAGCATACTTCTCCTCCAGAGAAAACTGTGCGTTCTGTAGCACATCTCGCAGTTCCTGTAATTGTCTCAAAGTGATTTTTAATTCTCCATGGGCATTCTGTAGTTCAGCTTCTAGCTCTTCTATTCTATGTAAAGCATCCTTTTGCCCAGTCTCACTCTGAAGCAGTTTATCTTCCAGATCACTCACTGTTATGTGAATAGAAATTGAAAAGAAAGGGTACTCACCGGTAACTGGTTCTTTAAGTATCGCCTCTACATATCATTACTTGCAGTATGCACCCACCCCCAATGTCACTAGCTTTGAGGACATTCTAGAAAAGCAGAGTCCTATTCAAGACTGCATGACCAATCCCTCTGTGACATTATGAAGGTTGTGCACTCCCCAACCTCCTCACTTCTTTTTGCTAAACTTGGTCTTTAAGAGAGTTGAATTCTGAGGAAGAAGTGAAAGTAGGTGAATAGTGGGAAAATGAAGAGGCAACACTCAAAGAAAGAATGGTTATTCTACTGACAGAGATGTTGTAGTAAGTGTGGATCCCACTGTCAGTGCGCATGTCTTGTGTGCAAACACAGAATATTTTAAATAGTAATGTTCTGGGGCTTTGGGGGATACATGTGCCCTGTGGCTCCTTGTGCTCCTGTAAAATAGCATAAAAGATTTCTTGATATCAAAGAGGGAAAAAACTTCAAGCCCTCCTTGAGGAATGGGTGTATTTTCTGCTCTGAGCTGCTTTTACACATGGTGCAGGTACAGTAACTCCTCACTTAACGTCCTCCTGCTTAACACTGTTTCAAAGTTACGTCGCTGCTCAATTAGGGAACATGCTCGTTTAAAGTTGTGCAATGCTCCCTTATAACGTAATTTGGCTGCCTGCTCTGTCCACTGCTTGTAAGATTCTGTGGAAGAGCAGTGACTTTACAAGGGAGCATTGCACAAGTTCCTCTTCTCCGCCGCCTCCTCCTCCCTCCCAGCGATGCGGCACTTAGGACTTCCTGGGAGGGAGGGAGGGAGAAGAGCGGGGAAGTGTTGCGTCTCCACTCCTCCCCCACCCTCCCAGAAAGTTCTAAGTGCCGCCAAACAAGCGCTGGGAGGAAGGGGGATGAGTGGGGAAGCACCGCGTCTCCGCTCCTCCTCCCTCCCAGAAAGTCCTAAGCGCTGCTAAACAACTGTTTGGTGGCGCTTAGGACTTTCGGGGGGCGGGAAGGAGTGGGGATGCGGCATGCTCCGGAGAGGAGGTGGCGTGGGGGTGGGAAGAGGTGAGCCTGGAGTGGAGTGGGGACTGGAAGAGGCAGGCCTGGAGCATTCCCGGCAAAGTCAGTGCCTGTTCTTCTCCGGGGAAGCTGCCGCTGCTGCTGCAAAGGTGCTTCCTAGCGTCCTTGCATGCAGCGGGCTGTGCCTGTGTGGGGTAAGCCAGGGGCACTTCCCAACCACAGTACAGTACTGTACAGTATATAATGCCTTTCGTCTGGCCAAAATTTTTTTCCTTGGAACCTAACCCCCCGTATTTACATTAAATATTATGGGAAAATTGGATTTGTTTAATATCGTTTCACTTAAAGTTGCATTGTTCAGGAACAAACTACAACGTTAAAGTGAGGAGTTACTGTATGTCTTTTGGCATCCAAAGTGGATGGCATAAGGTTTCTCTGTCCTGGAGTCGGTGCTGGCACTGAGGTCATTGGTGCTGATGAGGTGGTCAGAGAGAACGCCAACACCAGTGCCAATGATGCTGGCACTTTTTAGGCCTCTTCTCCCTGGTAGAACCAGAGATATGGTGCCTTGTTACCCAGTTACCAGGACAGTTATTAAAGATAGTCTCCTTGACTCCAGCTTGGAGGATCTCTTTTCTCTGGGATCAGATGCTACCTTCAAAGGAATGCTTAAAAATATCTATTAGGGATATGTCCTTCCCTGAGGCAGAAGAGAGATCTGTTGTGCCCATCAATTAAGGGCATAAGAGCATCACACAAAGGACAGGTTATAAACCCTGTGGGTTTAGAGTCTGCCATTACTAACTAAGTGCTTTGCTCAACTGTTCAAGGAAATATGGGAGGGTGTCTCCTCCATCTTTCTTTTCTTTTCTTTTTGGGGGGGCAGAGGGACAGACGATCCAATTAAAATAACAAGAAAATAATTTTTAATAATAGGGTGAAGAGGATTTCTTCACAAAAAGATTGCATTTGAAACAGAAGAGCAGACTCAATGTGCCATCTTGATGCCACAGGCAACAAGAGGGAACAGAGGGTATGTCTACACTAGTAGGTTGATTTGCCTTTCATTAGGTCGACTTACATCTACTGCAGAAATTACTACAGTGGTGCATGTCCACACTACTCTCCTTGGGTGTGTGGTGCACGTCCTCACCAGAAGCGCTTCCACCATCCAAAGAGGGGGAGTGTGCGGAGCGGAGAGCCTGGTCTCTCAGCTCTGCTGGCAGCTCCCTTCTGGGAGCCCAGCTGCCCCACAGGCTCCCAGAAGACTGCTCCCACCCAGCTCCCCATTCCCTGCCGAGAGCAGGGGGGAAGCTGCCTGAGGCTTCTCGCCCCTGGGGAGCGGGAGGTGGGCAGCCGTGTCAATTTCATGGCTCCAGAAGTCATGAAGCTGACAAGGCTGCCCAGCTCCCGGCAGGGATCCAACTGCCAGGGCTTCTCACCCCAGAGGGGGGTCCAGCTGCCCAACTCTCCAGGGGAATGGGGGGCAGCTTGGCTTTCTTGTCAATTTCATGGCTCCTGCCACGAAATTGACAAGATCACCAACAGCTGATGTAAGGAACACAGCATCTACACAGATTCTGTGTTGCCCTAACTACACCAACACAAGCCCTATGCCTCTTGTGGAGGTGGAGTTATTATGTTGGCGCAGTAGGGCACTTACATCGGTGGGAGCAAGGCTGTAGTGTATATATTGACATAATTAGATCGACATAAGCGGCCCTATGTCAACCTAACTGTGTAGTGTAGACCAGGCCTGAGGGAGGGTCACAGCTGCACTGCCCTTTATGCCCTGGCATGAGAAGGAATAGGATGTATGGATGGCTATGATGGACATTCTCTTCAAAAGGTTCTGAGCTTGTGTACATAGGCTCATACGCCCCTACAGTGGGACCCACACGGACATTCAAAAGAACCACCAGTTATTGTTAAGAAATCTACCTTTCTTTGAGTTGGCCTCTGCATATTCCTAAATGTGGGAGTTTAGTAAACAGTATAACCCCTAAGAAGGCAGGCTCAGAAGTTCTAATTAAGCAGGAGCTCCAGAATTACCCTCCCAAAGCATGTATCTGATCTAAATACCAAGCTGTTGAGTATGCAGTATTGCATAAATGTGTCAACAAAATTTCCTGCAGATTTCTATGATGACAATATTACAGAAGCAGGCTATTAATACCGTCTTAACAGAGTGAATCCTATGTCCTCCAGCCCAACACATCTTGGTACATAATCTAATCCATTTTGACAGATACTAAGTGGAAATGGCATTCCTCTCACACTGATCCTCACTGGTTACAAACAGTTTAGGTGCCTTCCTAAATGTCTCAGTTAACCTATCAATGTTGTATAGAAATCTAAAGATGAGACTTTGCATTGGTAGTGATTTTCTCCCACATAAAAACAAAAACAAAAAAAAACCAGATATACTTTATGAATTCCATTCTGTTTTGTGAATGCCATTTATGAGTGTAACCTTCATTGTGGACTAAAGCATCCATTTTGTAGCTGAGATTTGATACCTAGTGGACAGATGATGGCTGGGAAGCTGTGACAGAGCAGTCAAGTGCCATTGATATTGAACGGCTCTTCCCTAAAGGAACAATGGGTTTTCTACCAGCAGGGCCATTGATTTAGAATATTTCTCTCTTTACGCAAAAGCTGATGGGGGTGGGAGCTGGAGTCTCCCCATCCCAAGCTTGCAGCATATGGGGACTCAGGGGACACAGTCAGTTTTAAGAAGTGGTCATTCTCTAAGGAAATCCAGAAGCAAGATAGTCAGGCCAAGAAGGCCAGAAGGGCTGCCTGGCCTAAGTACTCAGACCACACCCAGGACTTACAAGGGTGGTGAAATCAACTGAGATGGATTGCATTTAAGTGTTTGTTGTTTTCCATCTATCTATAGCCCTCTTGTCCTTTTTTAAGAGCAAAGTGTTTGTTGATAAAAATTACATTGTTTAGTCTGCGTGCCTTGCTTTACTACTATGTTGTTCCTGAAGGGTGTAACTAGGAAACCAGAGGTGCCACAGGCAGTTGAACTCTGGGGGAGAATATGTCTAAGCAAATGGGGGCTCAGGTGGGCTGCAGCACTGGTTACAGGGTCTAGCCAGAGCGTGGGGTACCACTGCCCAAGAAGCATGTCAGTCATGGGTAGGCACCTGGGACTGCCTGCGACCCAGAGCTACAAGCAGTGATCAGTCATTACTCAGATGAAGGGGGCATAGAAGCACGTGGGATTCAGCAGTTGGACACAATCATAAGAAACTGGTGTCCATTCAGAGAATGAGATTGGACCAAGATTGTGACGAGAGACCTGAGCCAGTCTTACAGGGATACGGTAGGAATTTGAACTTTCTGATGTAATTGTTCAATATCTTCATGTCCATGATGGCATTTCTTTATTGGAATGAGAAAGAATTTGAAGCTGATATTAGGCCATGATAGCCTGATAATTGGTGACATTGATTCTCAATGTAACCGAGGCTCCATGGGGGAAGGGCACACCCCACAAATGGGAATATGTAAGGGCCATCTAAAATGAAGAAGCCCAAGTAACATTTTACTACCCAGATCTTTTCAAATTGCAAGATTATGAAAAGTCAAAATAGTCACACGTTGAGTCCCTTGCAACTAACTACAAAACAAGTCGGGTGGGGGGAGAGGGGACAATCCATTTTAATATATAAAGCATAAGCAAATAAGCCTTAAAGATGAAATTTTTTACACATAGTAAATCATTTACCTCGTTGCGTTTTTTTATTTAGTTCTGACTGAGTGTGCTCCAAAGTCATTTCTAAGTGACTTAGCTGCACTGTTTTAGTTTCACCATCTCGTCTTAAATGCATTAGTTCTTTCTCCATACCAATTAGCTCATCCTTGCACTGATCCATCTCCAGCTTAATCTGCCTGAACAAAACACAAAAGGAAACAGAATTAACAAATAACAATTGGAATAATAAAGACAGCATTTCCCTCACCTCTTTGTGCCCCTCCAGGTCCTTGCTTTATCCCAGAGACTCCTGCAGGAGCCTTCTTGCTCCCTGCAGTTCTCACTCACTAGGCCAGGGGTAGGCAACCTTCTGAAGCGGTGTGCCGAGTCTTCATTTATTTACTTTAATTTAAGGTTCCGTGTGCCGGTAATACATTGTAACGTTTTTTAGAAGTTCTCTCTCTCTATAAGTCTATATATTATATAACTAAACTATTGTTGTATGTAAAGTAAACAAGGTTTTCAAAATATTTAAGAAGCTTCATTTAAAATTAAATTAAAATGCTGATCTTACGCCACCAGCCTGCTCAGCTCGCTGCCAGCCTGGAGTTCTGTTCACCTAGGCCCGCAGCGGGCTGAGTGGGGCCTGACCTCTGAAGCCCCCCCATGCCACCAGAAGGGTGGGTGTGGGGGGCTTCAGAGGTCAGGGCAGAGGGCTGTGGGGGGGTGCAGGGCAGAAGGCTGGGGTGTGGGGGGCTTCAGAGGTCAGGGCAGAGGGCTGGGGGGTGTGGGGGGTGCAGGGGGCTTCAGAGGTCAGGGCAGAGGGCTGGGAGTGTGGGGGGGTGCAGGGCAGAAGGCTGGGGGTGGGGTGGGTCAGGGCAGAGGGCTGGGGTGCTCGCCTAGTGGGGGTGCTCCCAGCCCCCTGCCCTCTGCCCTGAGCGGCTCATGGCAGGGGGCTGGAAGGGATATGTCCTGTTCCACCCCCTTCCCCAAGGCCCTGTCCCTACCTCTTCTCTGCCTCCTTTACCCAGGGTCGGCTTTAGCAAGGGGCCGCGGGGCTGCCGCGCGCCGGCTGGAGCTCCGGCCGGGAAAGCGGGGCCGCGGGGCTTTTGCGGAGCAGCGAGCACGCTGCCACTCCTCCGCCACTCCCTTTGCAAGGGCCGGCACAGGGAAGGAGAGGAGGAGGGGCAGGAAAGCAGGCTGCACCACGGCTGGGGGAAGAAGCAGGGGAGAGCTTGGCTGCTGCAAGACGAAGCTTCTGCCTCCTGCCCCAGCAGGGGAGAGCGGTTGGGAGGGACGGGGGGGGGGGGGGACTGGTGCGGCTGGGGGTCGGAACCGCGGTTGAAAGAAACAGATTTTAAAAATCCTTAAATTATTTATAAGGCTTTTCTGTTTCTCTGATGTTGACGAGAGTATTTTCGGCATGGAGAGTGGTCAATCCCAAGAGCAAAACCGTCAACATTATTATTTTTTAAACTAACTCAAGCCCCAATTTCATGAAAGCACTTAGGAACATGCTTAACTTTAGGCATAAAACTAAAGTTAGTGTGTTTATGCACTCTTCCCGAATAAGAATGTTTTCCTGAATAGAGGCATATAGAAGGACTAAGCCTGGATATCTGTTAGTAAATTAACAAAAAATAGAAGTGTCCTTAAGCTAGAAATAAAGGCCAGAATTCAACAAGGTATATGGGATTATTAACATGTTTACAAATAGGCAAATATTCAAGTATGAATCAGGACCTGCTGAATCAGGACCAAAGTACTATTCTAAAGCTACATGTATCTGTAAAACATACTCCTTTCAATAAAAGCAGCACATTTTGTAATACAATTTTTTAGTAGTTTTACAATATTGGATCTTCAGAATACACCAAAATGAAAAAAAATGTTCTACACATACCCAATTGTGCTAGTAAGTTCAGCCACCTTCTGTCTTTTTAAATCTGCTTCCTGAGAGGCTATACGGAGCTTCCCTTCTGCCTTTCTCAACTCTTCTTCAGAGTTTTCTTTCTGTCTTTGAAGCTCTTGCTCCAGTTTTGATACCTATTTAAAGTTGTATTTAGTAGCTATATTGTTAAAATTTCTATAAAAGAACAGAAATCTCCCTCTTGAAAAATCACATATGAAAGGGTTAAAAATATTTAATTTCTTTGGTTAGATCCTAAAATTGCACATAAAAATCAAATAGAAATCTGCAAAGGTACTTTTAGAGAACAAATTATTTCTTATCGGTTTAATAAGTGCTACAAAAGTAACTAGACGCAAAATTTCTTATTATGATGTATTACTTTTTAATTATACACCTACAGCCTGATTTTCAAAGTACTGAGCATCCACAACTTCACCTGAAATTAAGTGGCATTTCATTTCATTATTCACTCAGGCTACTATAATAATTATATCAATTACATCTGATAATTAAAAGATTATAAACAAAGTAAGCTATCAAATAGACAGACATTGCAATTCCATATAAATACATTTAAATATTTATGCTTACCTATACTATTTAATTCTTCTCATTATGAATGTACTTTACCTGTTTTTCAAGCTTAATTTGGCTATCCTCTAGCTCTCCATTTCTAATTGTCTCCTGCTGTAACATTTGCTGCTGCTGCTGCAGAGTTTGCTGTAGGAGGACATTTTGTTCAGTGGTGTCCTGAAGATTATGATTTCTTTGTTTTATTTCTTTTTGTAACCGGTGCACCTGAAAATACATTAAATTTTCTTTACAATGAAACAAAGATATTTATGCCTTATCTTGCTTCCATTTAAGTCGGTGATTCGATGTTCTTCGTGAGAGGATGATCAGACCCATAATGCAAAAACAAACATAACCAAAAAAAAAAAAAAGACTCTCAACTCTATTTTATTTTATTCACCCAAACGTGAAACGGAGGAAGCGCCTGTGCCCCTCGAATATATGAATGTGGAAGTATGCGTCCTGCAGATCAAGGGCAGCATACCAGTCCCCGGGATCCAGGGGATGAGGGAGGCCAGACAGTCCATGCAAAACTTGAACTTTACCATGTACTGGTTCAGGCTTTGCAGGTGCAGGATGGGCCTGAGCCCCCCTTTGGCCTCCGGGATAAGGAAATAGCAGGAGTAGTACCCCTTGCATCTGAACTCTGCTAGCACCACTTCCACCACTCCTAAGCCAAGGAGCCGCCCCCCCTCCTGCTCTAGCAGAGCCTCGGGAGGGGGTCCCCCAGGTGGGACGGGGGCGGAGGGTAGTTGGGGTGGGGTAGAGGTAAACTGGAGGGTGTAGCCCCGGGGGACGGTGTTGAGGACCCAACAGTCCGAAGTCAGCCACGACCACTCCGGGAGAAAAGCACACAACCGGTTAGTGAAGGGAAGCTTTATTGCGGGTGGATCCCTAATGTGAACTGGTAGGTTGCCCCTGGGCATCCCGTCAAAACTGACGTTTCCCCACCTGTTTATCCTTGGAGCACCCAGGCTGGGGGGCAGACCAGGACTGCCTCTGCAGGCATTTCTTATAGTCCCATGACTTTTTATAAGGGGGCTCATATTTAGAGTGGGTGGCCTGAGTGGGAGCCTGCTGCGGCTTAAACTTGGGCCTAGCCAGAGCTGGGACATGTGTCTTAAGCGTAGTGCAGGAATCTTTCAGGCCATGCAGCTTCACATCCGTCTGTTCCGCAAACAGGGCCTTGCCGTCGAACAGGAGGTCCTGCAAGGAGTTCTGTGCCTCACTGGACAGCCCAGACAGCAGCAGCCACGACGCCCTCCTCATGGACACTGCAGAGGCCATGGACCTTGCACCTGTATCCGCAGCATCCGACGCTGCCTGCTGGGTTGCCCTGGTAGCCGCTGTACTCGCCTCCACCAGAGCTTTGAACTCCTTCCTATCACGCTCCTGGATGGAGTCCTCGAATTTGGGTAGAGAGCCCCACAAATCATACCAACCCAGAAGAGCCTGATGGTTCGCCACCCTTAACTGGAAACTCAAGGACAAATAAACCTTTCTCCCAAAGAAGTCCAGCCTCCTTGAGTCTTTATTTTTCAGAGTGGGGGCTGGTTGGCCCTGCCTCTCCCTGTGGTTGACCAACTCGACCACCAGGGAGTTGGGGGCAGGGTGGGTGTACAGGTATTCATGCCCCTTGGTGGGCACAAAGTACTTCCGTTCTGCCCTCTTAGAGATAGGGAGCAAGGAAGCCAGGGTTTGTCACAAGGCATTTGAAATTTTTGCCACCCCTTCGTGGACTGGAAGGGCCACCCTGCCTGGTACCAAGGCCGATAGGACGTTGAAGAGGGAGTCGAGGGTTCCTCCACCTCCTCGGCCTGAAGGTTGAGACTTGATGCCACTCTTTTCAATAGTTCCTGGTGGGCCTTAGAGTCCTCCTGCGGAACAGAGGAAGGAGAGTTCGTAATCGCCTCATCAGGGGAGGGTGAGGATGCAGGCATGGTACTCTACGTACCGACCAGTACTGGAGGTCCCCCCACTTGGTCACCCCCTCTGGGCACGGAACCGAAAATGCACGTCCCACCGACTCCTTTCTGGGATGCTGGGAAAGGGAGGCCGACGGTCTTTCCGATGCTCCGGTCACCAAGCGAGCCCCCACCGGGGGCTGTGTCAGGGGCCATGGGGCCCACAGGTACCACGGTGCTGGCCAAGGAGCCCAGTGCCATTGTTCAGCCTGAACTAGCCTGTCCCATTGACTGATGATACGAAGGGAGGCCAGGCTAGCGTACGATCTGCCGCTGTCCCTGGACCGGGAGGAGCGATGGCGTCGGGAACGGTGCCGACCACAAGACCATGATCCCAACATGGAGGAACGATACCGCCGGTAGCAGCTGCTCCACAATTGGCTCCGGCGGGCGCCAGCGATCGACGCCCGGGACTGCGGGAGCGGTGCTGCAGCGGGGTCCTGGAGCGAGACGACAAACAGGAACAGCATTGATGCCCATATCATGATGGGCTACGGTAGCCTTTCACAGGCGAAGACCTCCGGTGCCGTCTGCCTTGGTCTCGACGGGGCCCACTCCCTTCGCAAGGTCTATGGTCCCTCGAGGCAGAGCGGTGTCTGGAACCCCAGTCAGTCAGAACCCAGGCAGGCAACCTGGTGGGGGTCGACAGTGACCGGTGTGGACTACACTGAGCGGCGAACAGCATCAGGAACATTCCCTCGAACAGTACTGACCAAGAGGCAACTGCAGCGATCTAAGCAGTGGCTTGCCTCTGGACCAGGAAGCCAATGGTGGCAGTGCCCCTGGTACCGGTAGGAACATAACGTCCCAGGTTGCTTGCAGGGCCTCCGGCGTGGAGGGCACCCGGACATCCAGGGAAGCCTGCGCTGACTGGGCCAGGCTACTCCGCTCAACCTGAGTTGGAGGCCTGGAGGCCGATGGGGACTGAGAACTGCCCAACGTGGGTCTAGTCTCTCCCCTGGTCTTGCTCCGGTGCCTCGGCAGAGAAGACCTCTTCTTAGCCTTCTAGGTGTGCCCCGCGGATGGGGAGCGGTGCCGACTGGTGGAAGGCACCGAAGGGTCGCCGCACACCGACACCGCGATGCCCGGTGCCGACTCAGAGCGGCGCACTGGAGTTGGGGTCAATGCTGACTCCATCAGAATGGCTCGGAGCGGAATGTCTCTTTCTTTCTTGGTCCGAGGCTTGAAAGATCTGCAAATCTTGCAGCGATAGCAAAGATGGGTTCCCCCAGGCAGCATAAACAGTCCGCGTGCAGGTCACTCACTGGCATCGGCCGCCTGCAAGTGTCACACGACTTAAAGCCCGGGGCATGCCCCGACCCGGGTGCACTAAACTAAACTAACACTCATCTAAACTACTACAACTACAGGTACTACTACTACTACGAACGAACAAGAGTTCTAGAGGAAAGCTGCAGACAAGCTGGAGCAGAGCAGTTCTGATGCATCTTCACTGGCGGCAAGAAGGAACAGAGGTTAGGGGGTGCGCGCAGCGCCCCTTATACTGCACCATAGAGGCGCAACTCCAGAGGTCGCTAGGAGCGCTCCCCTACGGGGAGCTAGGGGGAAAACTTCCAGCACCGGTGCACGTGCTGGAGCACGCACGTGTGAGCACGCACACCTACTGTGGAATAAACATGAACAATCACTCAAAGAAGAACTGCACTTTGTCCGTCCTGCCCCTTTCTCCCCACCAGCCAGCCAGGAAGCAGCAGCAGAAGCCTGGGTGAGAACTGAGTGCAGAGCGAGCCAGGTTTACAATCCCTGCCCTGGACCACGCTGGGCCAGATGTCTGGCGCCATCTGATGAGATACCTCGCCTCAACGCCCTCTAGCTTACCATCCCTCCTACTCCCAAGGATAGGACTGGCACTGCCACCTCCCAGCCTGCTAACCCTCCACAAGCAGCCTTAGTAGGAAGTGGAAGCTGAGATGGCCACTTCCGCCTCCCTGCCGTTGGGAAAAAATTGCAGCAATTCTCAGGGGCAGCAGGAGGCGTGGCAGTTGTACACATTCCATGAAATTCAAAACACTTACCCATGACACTGCTGTGAATTTAAAAAAAAATAATAATAATCTGTGATTTCCACAGAGTCTTATCTATAGGTTATCTTTCCTATATAAAAAAAAAGAGGTAATGTAAAATTAACAGTTGATCACTCTTCTTCCGCTTCCTATTCTCTCTTGGCTTTGCAATTTTGTGGTTCCTGGTTCTCTTCCTATCCTACTCCTTTAGCGGCTCATTCTCCCCTCCACATTCTGTCCTGGTTCCTCTGCTCTTCTCTATTTTTGTAACCTCAATCTGTTCCCCTCTCCTTCAATTACCACCTATATGCAAATGAGCCAAGATTTTCAACAATGATTAGTGGCTTTCGGTACCTAACTTGAGACGCGTTGAAGGAGCCTAATTTTCAGGGGGTGGATGCTCAACATTTTCTGAAAAGTCATGCCCCTTTAAAGCATCTTAAGTTGCACACCCAAAAATGGAGGCACCCATTATCACCAGTCACTGATGAATATCTTGGCCATGATTACCAATCTTTACCTTTAACCTTGCCCCACTATCCAGTCTCCCCATCTCTAACTATCAGTTATAGATTTTAAGGGCAGAAGGGATGAGTAGACCATCTAGTCTGACATCCTGTGTATCACAAGCCAAAAAATTTCATCCAGTTATTCTTATACTGAGCCAAATAACGTGTGTTTAGCTAAAGCATATTTTCCAGAAAGGCATCCAAGAGATAGGGAATCCATCACTTCTCTTGGCAGTTTGATCCAATAATTAATCACTCACTGGTAATATTTTGTGCTTTATTTCTAATTTGAATTTGTCTGGCTTTAATTTCCAACGACTAGTTCTTGTTAGGCTTTTCATCACAAAATTGAAGAGCCATTTAGTACCTGTTTTTTCCCTCCATGAAGGTACCCCTATACCTATACTACAATCAAGTCACCTCACTAACTTCTTTTTCATTAGTTAAACATTAACACAACCGCCATAGCCCTCTCAATCTCAGTCATTCCATAACTGAATGTATCCTTCCTCCTGATCCTGTTTCTCTGGCTTTATTAACAACTCCCTTTTACTGGATACTACTACTTTTCACCTACCACATTCACTCTCAAAGTCTTATTGCTTCTCCCTCTTTGTCACAAAAATTTGCCCCTTTTCACAATCCCTACTGCTAAAATTTTGTTCACCTCTCCCCTTGCCTACTATATCCTTCTTTTAGACACAAATTCTAATATTTCATAATGGATAACACCAGTTTTCTCTGTAACAAAGAAAAACTAAGTTGATAAAACAAATTAAAGTTTACCTCTTCAGACTTCTTCTTTAGCTGCTTTTCAAATGACTCCTTATTTTCTTCTAATTGACTCAGATACAATCGAAGTTCTTCTTTACAAATGTCTAGTGCTGACTCTAGTTGTCGGACCTAGTTAGGTGTAAGAGACCATTTAAAATAAGTAATGACTAGTTGTTCAGAATTGGTCAAGAAGTCTAAAATAATTCATTAAAACCTGCTTGTTAATTCTGACATTTTGTGTGATATAACTACAAATATGGATTTAAAAAAACTATCTTTAATTTCTCTGAAATTTACTTTTAACATAACATTTAAATAATGAAAAATTCCTACAAAAACTTACAAAATTTATGCTTTTAAGTCATAAGAGATTATCAATTATGCAAAGACATTACAATACCTGTCATCAGCTACAGTCTAAGGACTATATATATATATATAAGGAATATATATATATTCACACTACTGAGTCAGCTATTCACTTACGCATCATTTACAGAGAAAGTGATAAAAAGGCTATAAAATTCCAGCTTTATGTATGGGATACCTTCATAAGGTACATTCTTATGTAAATTATGACAAGTCAACACTCAGAAAAGTAGATCCATATCTAAAACCAAAATATTTTATTGTGCTATTACAAAATAGCAGATCCACTTTTATTTTCTGCATTGAGACTGCAGCTCCTGAGTTTAATCAGGACGGAAAGGACAAGGTAAACATAAAACAACATAGCATGATGATGATGTTGACAATTTAATAAATGTATCTTACATTTACATTATTACCAATTTGGACTTGCACCCTGAAATCACAAACTTAGATATACAATTTATATACGACAATAACTAGGGACCTCTCCCCCACACACACTGAAGCGCAACTATCTCTGGGGTGAAATACAGCAATTGTAACATTAAACAGCATTGGGCAGCAAGTGAAGATTTCCATATCAAATTGCAACAGCAGTGGAAAATTTAGATAGGCAGTCTGCAGTTTTCCACACTAGAATTTTACTAGACCATGAGGTTAACACACACACTACTTTTTTTTTTTTTTAATTAAAGGGAGGGGAAAAAAAGTTTCAAGTTATCTCTGATTAGAAGTAGTCAGGGACTTTCATTTTATATTTCACCTGAAAAACACCACTGGCAGCAGTACCCTGTAACACTATAACAGCCCACTGGTTCAGTACAAACTCAGACGGAAGCAAGCCACCTACTGAATCACCAACACCACTTCTTAAAGCACGTAGACGATACTTGGATGGCTTCTCATCCCAACCAATCTTAGGTTATGAATTCAGATGGTATTACAGCACAAGATGGCATTGCTTGGCAAAACTAGTGTTGCCAGTACTGCATTGAAGACGCTTGCCAGACAGACACTAGTAGGAGAAGTAGACGGGCTAAAGAGTTTGAAGAAGTCAGTTTACTTTTACAATTACTATTTAGCCTAAAATAAATATTGCATCTATAGTGAAACCTTAAAAAAAAAAAAAAAAGAGAGAGAGAGAGAGAGAGAGAGAGAGAGAGAGAGAGAGAGAGAGAGAGAGAGAGAGAGAGAGAGAGAGAGAGAGAGA